TTTCCTGCAGTTGCGACTTCACTTAGAAAAAATGCAGTTTTGCCTGTCGTGTGACCTTAATATACCACGCAACGTTTTGAGGTTGCGACGCATGCATGGATGGATGCCAAGAACCAATTTGTCCCTCTCAAAACCAATCAACACGTGACCACGAACGTAGAATTAACGTACGAAACGTTGTATACATGTCAACACACAAGACGAGGATGACGCTCCGAAAATTCGCCCATTAACACGTCGTCTCAGTTACTCCGCAGAACCCGGGTCTTGTTTGATCACGAATAACTTTAACAGACGCCAAAATTGCCTCCGTTTCGCAAAACAACGTTTTACACAAGCTTCGGATTTGGATTCGTTTTCGGGATTTTCACTGTCGGGTTCAGGTAAGGTTGGCGTTTTGTAAGTTCTAAGTTTTTAATACACGTGCACAAAGCTAGAAGCCTCGGCTTCGCACTCAGCTCTGCGTTCCAAAAATACAAAACATTTGGCTCCGGCTTCGGCTTTGCAGTTTCGAGCTTGGAAACTATCTGGTTTGGCTTCGACTTCGGCTTTATTTCATTGTCTCTGCTTTAGATTGGGCTTGACGGCAGAAGCACGGCTTCGTCGTGCGTGCCGGGACCATTGTTTGGCAATACACTGCGGGCGTCCTGCGCCCGCCGTGCTGGGCTTGCCAGCAGCCGTCAGACAGGTTGGGGTTGCCGCCCGGACCTGCCGGCGGCCATCAGACAGGTCGGAGTCGCCGCACGGACCTGCCGTCCTTTTGCCGCCGCCTCCTGCGCCGCACGGATCCTGCCGCCTCCGACCGTCCATTTCTAGAAAAAAATCTGCATTTATGCAGCCTTTTAGTAATTGCACTCACGGTTGAATGGTTACGGGAAGCTGGCTCTTAGGCGTTCAAGATTTGGTGTGCCCAGATGACTTGTCACCATCGACAGCTCTTCTTAGCAGGAGTCTTTCTTGCCCCCCCCCCCCCGGGGCAGTAGTCCTAGAATGTTCTATTAGTGCTCGTTGATGCATTTGTGTTCGACTGTTGTCACCAATCTTCATTGATGGGATAAGCGACCACTAGGCTGCGGACATAGCCTCGATTCGTCACTGCTGGCTCATCCAACAGCCCTGCCTTCCCCTGCAACTTGTTGACGCTCCTTTCAGGACGCTAATGGGTCATTTGCATAGGCTCTTCTTTGTTTACGAGTATGTTAGGCCTGTTTACCGGTATTGATTAACGAGTGAAAGTATTTGTCATCAATGACTGAAAGACGCATGGGCGAGCCGCGTTATTGTCCGCCGCTGCAGGTCGGCTCGCAATAATACTTGTGTGCACGGCTCCCCCCAGAATGTTTGGGTCTGGTCTGACGGATGGTCTTTGTTCTTGACGAAAAGGCCATAGCTGCTGCTCTGAATTTCCCTCCGTCTGGTTGGTTGAGTTTGCTGTTTTGGCATAGCTCTGCTCGATGAAGAAATGTATCATTTGAAGTGAATTTGTTTGTTCTGTTTTTTCCGCGACGTTAATTTTTTTTCCTAATCTTAACACAAGACACCACAGTTGCTTTACGTTGAGATATGATCACGATTTCACTCTGGGGTTTGCTCCAGCCGAACCCCGTTTCTCAGTGTGGGGAAGACTGGAAGTCTTCTGTTAGCCTTACTCCTCGTAGAATCACCAGGAGAAATGAGACATAGATGACATTCTACTATTAGTTTCAATAAAGGTGTGCAGCTGACATATCAGCACATCCATCTCTCTCTCTCTCTCTTTGTATGCATAACGCATCCCGCAAACGCACTTAACAATTGACGTAAAGCTGAAAAGTTTTGAGATGTTTGCGGTTGCAGTTTCAGAAACGTATGATGTCCTAAAATCACGTAACATTGCTATGATGATGCGGTAAGCATTTTGTTTGACTATCCTCGAAGTTTCAAGAGGCTGGTGCAGTTATCTGCAGCTCCAACGAGGGGTAAGGGAGTTTAAGGAGTTTTGTGTATTTGGGCCGTAGGCGTAACGATATATATCGCATCAAGACAGCGAGTTTAACATTTTCTAGCGTTGAGTGCCGGAGGCGACCGTAATGCCGAACCATATCTGCGAGAGCAAAAGGAAACTTGTAGTTGCCATATCGTTTATTATTCGTAGATCGTTTAGCGTGTGGTCGTTATTGTATCGTGATCCGCCCTCGACGTGAGATGACTACACATGCCGACAAAACGGCGTCCGCTTGCCGTGTCACGTACAGTGTTGTTGACTTTTTGCGAAAATCATTTCTGTTGACTTTTTTTTTACTTTTTGTCAAAATCAGTTGGAAAATCGTTTTTTATATGACAATGCTTAGAACAGTAAAGTGTTAATGACATGAGCCTTCAAGACGGTGCCGAGGAGGGATTTATCGGAAAGGCGCCAGGAAATCGGTACGAGTGATTGGTGGGCGGCAAGTAATACAAATAATGATGCACGGTTTAAACATGCTGTTGAGGCACTCAGTGAAAAGTCACAGACAGAACCGCTACGAACCTTAGTGGCGACTCGGCTGTAGCTCGTTAGCAACAGTCCAATGACACGGATAATACGCATGGCGATGTGCTACGGAGCGTTTCAAGCCGATCCACTGATATAATTTCTTGTGTTTCCGTATTGAATCGGCAAGTTCATCGTGGGATGTCAAGAGGTCGTGGGAAGCTGCAATACGCCTCAGCCATATGAGTATGGAATAAATTCCAGACGAGAGCGATGTTTTTCGAGAGCGAAGACCCGTGTTGACCCTTTCATGTTTACTCTTTGCACGAGAATAAAATGTCAGGAGCGCTTTGCAATCCTTGAACCCATAGCCGCCTGCGGTTTTTCAGCAGTTTAAGGCAGCAATTTAAAGTTTTCTTTTCGTTTCCTCCTTCGGCGAACAGCTGGAGGCCGCATCAAACGCTCCACCAAAAACAGATTAGTTGAATGTGACGACCGTATTTATTACTTATTTGGCGGCTCGTGTCTCATACAGCGAGGCGGCGCCCTCTGAGGAAACTGAATCAGTCGAGAGTTATGGTATAAATGCAAGGTTCTCTTCAGCGTTCAGGTAATCCCCTCCGGCTTCCTTGAATCACGTCTGTACCTTTCCAGATTGACTTCACATTTTCGACTCCTGTTAAATGGCCATCTGTGACTCATTCTGGTGTAACAACGAGGTAAATTTTGATGCCTAGTCGGGTCTTAGAGACATAGCGCCTTTAAGGAAGGCTTACACGATTTCTGAAGCTTCTGAAGGTAGCAATTCAAAATTTTCTTTCGTTTTTACGGATTCTGTTCGCGTGATATATAGACTGGCTTGACTTCATGCCGATGGGAGTTAGTCATCCGATCAGACTGCATGAGGCCACATTTAAAGGTCGTTGCAGACCCACGTGTATAACCTAATCGAAATGGCTTGTGCTGTTCATTTCTGGAATATTGGCCGGTAAACCGATATATGATGCCAATTTACTGCCACCGTCTGGCTCATCATGCTTCACAACAAGTTTCTAAATGAGTAGAACAGACATTTCGTACAAAACGTCGCATGGGACCCAAATCCCGACCAGGCTCTTATCCTGCATGTGAATCCTGCCCTTAACTATTGTCCTGGTATGATGCCGACGCAAATGAAGGCGGCTCTCGTTTGTTGCCCGGTCGAGAGCTAGGCATCATTAGGACGCCGACTTGACGACGAATGCCACGGCCCACCGAAGCCGTTAGATGATGTAGGGAATCTGTGAGTTGTTATGTAACGCGGGACGTCAACAGTTACTTCACGGTTGTCAAAAGAATGACTCACGCTATCGACTTCGCTAAGGTCCGACAATTGTTAGCCTAATAATATGGGAGGTTAAAGTAATACGTCAAGCTGTCGCCGTTGGCGAAATACCCCGGACGATGCGGGCTACCACGTCTTTAAGCCGCCGGAGCCCTCAGATCGTGTCACGACTAGGAAATAAGTGTCCTAAATAACTGCTTTTATGCACAGCTGGACTGCATTCAAGCCTGGTGAAGTGTCGGCGATATAGGTTCCATATTTATAGAGGTATTTGCCTAGATGATCGCTTCACGCTTTTGCGTGTGATGGTGCGAACGTTGTTGTTTTATCAGCTTCTGCAAAATTTAAACGCTATCGCCCTTAGTTTTCTGCCATAAAACGCACCCCGCAAAGTCCAGGTGGGTGCTTTCAGTGATATTGTGATGGGCATGGATCTGTGTAGTTTTCAACATATTGTAAAGTTATGAGCAGGATTCCGTAGTTGTGCTAAAATCAGCGTCGCGCTTATGCGTCATAATGTTATGTGTGACCATAGCGCGTGTTACATTTGTTCTGTACCTGCTGCGAAAAGTACTGTTACTCTTATCGCGAAAAGGGTAAAAGTATGGTTGTGCTTTTCAGTGCACTGGAAGTTCATTCGGTACAAATAGAGACAACTGAACAACAGTTTAGTATCACGTATTTAGTGCGGACCTCCTCGCTGCGCTCAGATGGCGGCCTGCTGCGCCGGTGATGCCAGCCGAATGGCGTTGGTGGTAATGTCTGGGGCGATACGTGAAACATTAGCCGTGTTGAACCGGGCATTGCCGTCCGCCGGTTGTTTTTTTATTTGGAACCGTGATTTGGGCGCATATTGATTTTTTTCACAACTTCGTGCATGCATTCACCATTTTGTGCCTGGCATGGTAAGTGCGTTAGCCGCAACACCCCAGGCATTGACTTCCTTCTTTTTGAGGTTTTGATTTGGAACCGTGACACGGATGCATGTCCGCATTAGCATGCAACTCAAGCAAATCGAACGGCAGATATTACCAGTGCGTGTCCCATCCCTGCCTTTCAACCTAACCATTCAATTTAACATACGCGAATGTGAAGCTGGCGGTGTCAGGTCAGGTAAAGTCGGTTTGGTGATTTACTCCGCCTTCTTGGTTGCCTTCGACTGCCTCGTCGTGGTCCTGCAAGCGGCGCTGTGGCCTAAGATAGGGGCTTGTTGGTGTGCCACAGGTCGGACAGAGGAGCTGGACGTCATGTTGAAGGGCCACATGGCCCGGCACCCGCTGACACGGCTCGTCCTAGTCGGCTTCTCCATGGGCGGCAACATCGTCACCAAGTACATGGGACAGCCGGCCGGGCGGCGGACGCCCAGCATCATCGGCGCCGTCTCCATCTGCCAGGGATACGACGCCCAGAGGTCAGCCGCTGCGCACGGCGGCGGCGCCGCGGCAAGGGTGCGACACGTTCGAGGATTCCTGCCCGTTACTGCCGTCGACTTTCGAATCGATCTATTTTGTTGGGGTGTGCCTGGGTCAGGAAGGGCAGGACAGCGGCACCAACTTTGCCTGGGGTCAGCTGGCTAGTAGTTGCTAACACGCCGCCTACTTTGTGTGCTGTGCCACGTCTCGAATGGATGGCACTACTGGACAGAATCCGCGTTAGAAGTCGAAGCATGCTTTGGCGCTGGCAGGATGCAGGCCGACTGAAAGCTCAAATTATTGATGCTGTCCGTGTGCTGCATGGTAATATCCTTTGCCGGACGCCTGTTACGCGGCGCCCATGGCTGAGTCGTGAACCGTCCACCGCTCTCCGCCCTGTGACCTCCATCCCGTGACCTCCGTCCAGTGGCTTTGTCCAATGACCTCTGTCCTGTAACCTCCGTCCACTGAATTGCGTCCCCCGAGCCCCATTCCGTGACCGACGTCCCATGACCTCCTCTCCACGATCTGTGGCCCGTGACATCTGTACCATGGCCTCTGTGCACGACTTCTGTCCCGTGACCTCCGTTTCAAGACCTCTGTCCCGTGACCTCCGCATCATCATCTTCGTACGCGACCTGCGTTCTGTGAACTCCGTCCACTTACCTCGTTCCCCTAACCTCCGCCCTCTGTGACCTGTGACCTCTGTCTCCTTACGTCTATCTTGTTCTGACTTTCGGCCCCTGCTTTCTGTCCCATGCCCTCCGCGACATAGCATTCGTCCCCTCGACTTCATTTCCTGCATGCTGTCCTTCGTCCTATTTGTTCCGTCCTATGTCCCATCCCCTAACGTCCGTGTGTAAATCCCTCCCTACCTTCAGTCGGCCGTCGCTTGACCGCCTCGCGGTCCGTAGGTGTGTGAACGCGCTTCTCTGGTGGCGCGAGTTCCGCCGCTTCTACCTGCACATGATGACGGAGAACATGAAGGCCATCATCATGCGACATCGGGCCGTGCTCTTCACGGATGACGTCAAGGCGCGCTACCAGCTGGACGAGCGCAAGATCTTCATGGCGGCCACCATGACGGAGTTCGACGAGGCGTACACTAGGTGAGTGCTTCACAAATGCCCGTCCCGGATCAGGAGACGGCCCCAAGTAAGGACGAGATGATGGTCACGGTCAGGGTTAAGGGACAGTCCCGTCCCGGATCAGGAGACGGCCCCAAGTAAGGGCGAGGTGATGGTCACGGTCAGGGTTAAGGGACAGTTCCGTCCCGGATCAGGAGACGGCCCCAAGTAAGGGCGAGGTGATGGTCACGGTCAGGGTTAAGGGACAGTCCCGTCCCGGATCAGGAGACGGCCCCAAGTAAGGGCGAGGTGATGGTCACGGTCAGGGTTAAGGGACAGTCCCGTCCCGGATCAGGAGACGGCCCCAAGTAAGGGCGAGGTGATGGTCACGGTCAGGGTTAAGGGACAGTCCCGTCCCGGATCAGGAGACGGCCCCAAGTAAGGGCGAGGTGATGGTCACGGTCAGGGTTAAGGGACAGTCCCGTCCCGGATCAGGAGACGGCCCCAAGTGAGGGCGGGGTGATGGTCATGGTCAGTTAAGGGACAGTTCCGTGCCGGGTCGAAACGGTCCCGGGTCGGATCAGGAGACGGCCCCAGATAGGGGCGATGTAATGGTCTCGGTCAGGGTTAAGGGACAGTCGCGTGCCGGGTCGGGACAGTCCCGGGTGGGATCAGGAGACGCATCCAGATAAGGGCGATGTGATGGTCTCGGGTCAGGGTTAAGGAACAGTCCCGTGCCGGGTCGGGACGGTCCGGGGTCGGATCAGGAGACGATCCCAGGTAAGGGTTAGGTGATGGTTCCGGGTCATGATCAGGGAACAGGGATCGGGTTCCATGTGGGGTCGGGCCGGTCCCATGTCGGGTCAGGAGACGGGTCAGATGACGGTTGGGACGGTCCCAAGTCGGGTCAGGGGACGGTCTCGGGCCAGGCCAGGGGACGGTCTCGGGGCGGGTCAGGGGTTGGTCCCGGACCGAGTCAGGGGACGGTCCCGGGCCGGGCCAGGGGAGGGTCCCGGACCGAGTCAGGGGACGGTCCCGGACCGAGTCAGGGGACGGTCCCGTTGCCGGATGAGGGGACGGTCTCGGGCCGGGTCAGGGGACGGTCTGAGGTAACGCAACGCTAAGGGGATGGCCCTGGGTCAGGGTCGGGGACAGTCCCGAACCGGGTCAGGGAACGGGCCCTGGCTAGGGTCACGGGACGACCCTGGCTGGGGTCAAGGGCGGTCCCGGACCTTAGTCAGGGACAGGCGCCGGTTTCAGCACGTGACGTCACATGGTGTGAGTGCGCCAGGCCGGATCTGGGTGGGGTCTCAATCATTGTAGGACGTCATAACGAAGGTCAAACGGACTATGCCGCCGCCTGCCGGTGAGGTTGGCCATGTGAGAAGTGTCCAAGGTGTCGCCAGCCAGCACATGTGTCCTATGAAGCCGTGCGGCTATTACTTCACCATGCCAAATTGCGAGCTGTCGCGAACTCAATCTGTTATTCACGCCCTGATTTATGCGCGGGAAGCTGGCGAGCCGGCTCGGGCAATTTGTGGAAATAGTGGGATGGAGGGAATTATGTGTCCAGTCTTCCACGGGTTGTATTTTATGAAGCTGCCTGTCAATGACCTGGGTGCCCGTGAAAGAAAATTAGCTGTGTGAAACGCAGGTTCTGGCTGGAAACATTACTGTCGTTTTTCCTGCAACTCCTGGTTGCCTTCTGTTGATGTTTGATTTTCATTGATTATTTGCTCATGCATTTAAGATACTGAACTAGAAAGTTCGAGAACATTTCGTTACCAAAATAGCGTAGTCTCGTCTTCGCCCAGTGATTCGACTTTTCTGTTAGACAGTTGCCGGCTTTGCTACCGAAACTTCGGTGCAAACTCCGTACATACTCCCCTGCCGATTCCACGCCCATGTGCCAGAGAAAGAGGGTGGCAGCTGGGTGCATGATCAGCAACTTTGGGTAATTTTCAGAGTGTTTAATACAGCGAGGGACTCATTCTGAGGAAACGTCGTAACGAGTCGTAAAGAGCAAGGTTTTTGTAAGCGATGGTTCACAGTTTGTTAATAGCTGCGTTGTTTTCCCTGGTTTGTAAATTGCCGTACTTTTGAGCCAGCAGACTGCCTGCGGGCATCTCTAGTTGTATCCTCGTCCATCAGCAGCTTACCTGCACGCCAGAACGCCTTAAACGGGTGCTGTCAAGGATATGACCTTGTCATATTCTGATCATGCGTATGAAAGCGTGTGCGTGTGTGCGTGTGTGTGTGCGTGTGTTATTGGGACTCTATGGCGCGCTCAGCTGCTGAGGCTATGTGAAGTCACCAGCCTTTCACCCTGGCACGAAGGGCAGGCGCCACACCTGGTATCCTATACGCGCAGTTTAAAGGGAGTGTCCCACCTTTGGGGCACATTTCAAAAACGTACCCTGGTGAAGCCTCAGCTCCATTTAGCCTAATCATAGCACTGAATAATGCCACTGCAGCACCATGAAGATATAGTAAAGAGGTCAATTTTTATCATTTTCGGGTCAAATTACGCGTTTGACGCTTTGCAGCAGCACTGCATTTCTCCCTTGGTAGACCCAGAGTGTCGCGACAACCGTAGTTATCGCGTCCGTCATCGTGATGACATCCGCCATCGTCGTGACGACGGCAGAATCTGCTTAGGGGCGCTGTCAACTGTGATGGGTTTAAGGTGCCACTTTTGAGCTGTTTTAACTCGCATGTTGCGGGCCTGCGGGCCTAAGAGTGGAACCCCTACTGGTATGAATTACGTCAGTACAAATGTACGTCTGTGAATGACACAGCGGGCGGCAAGGGCCAGTTACCGAGAAACGCATTGGTTGAAGTTTGAACCAGCGCATCACTGAAGACCACGTGGTACTCCGTTTTCAAAGCCGAAGTGCGTTTCGAAATGAGCCACGATGCTATCCGCTATAGGGGAAAAATCAAAGCCAGCGTGGAACGCTGTGTTGAATTCGAGGCATAATGACTCATGTTAGCAGACATTTTTTAGAGTGTTTCCAGCTTTCGTAGCCTTTATTACGAAGACATTTTGACAGCCCAGTGTGTTGCAAACATTACAAAACACGCGCGTTAGAAAAAGCAAGGCAAATGAAATGTGTTACTTTCAAATTGGTGAGCAAGGATTTCGGTAAGATTTCTCCCGCAGGGGCGGCTGCTTGAAATCGAAATCATCAGGTATTTAGACGGATAGCAAGAAAACTGGTGTTATCAATGAAATCGGACGCGGCTAATCTAACAATGGGGTGAACAATACAAAAAAGGTAGTATGCTGCCTTTAAAGGGAAGGTTTCATAACTGAAGATTTTGAATGTGAAGAAACAAGCTCACTTAAAACTATTGGGATGCTTTTAAATAGAAAAGACTGATCTAGGCAACTCAATTTCTTTGTTAAGTAAATATGCTACTCAATACGTGATTGTTTGATTACGTCAACGTACCCTGCATAACATCGATTGTGCAAGGTACGCAACTGGTGAAAACTGGTGTCAACTGGTGAAAACCAGTTGACGATCGCTACATCTGGGAATTGCACTCACGAACGCCGAATACGAACGACTTGATAATTATCTTTTTATCGGCTTGATCGCCGCATGGCTTATGGAACGACAGGACTTGAATGACGTTAGTATGACGTCATGAATGCCAAGGTGACCTAAAAACACTCACCCCAAAATCCTCTCCCTATTTTCGCGGGCGTAAAGATTTAAAACTAGAGGGATGTGGATCTTAAAAAGGGTATGGCTGTGAACTGCACCAAGGGGTCTTCAAGATCGTTATTTTACTTCAAAACCCCATATTAATATGTGGCGCTCCCTGTAATGGGAGTGCTCCGCATTTGAAGATATTAAAGCAGCGATCAGATATGCTGCAGTAAGTCCACTTATAACTATTGGCATACTTTTAGGTGGAAAAGACTACTCTATAGAAAACTGTTTTTCTATTTAGTAAATATGTTCCACAATGCGTCATTGCTTGATTGCGTCAGGGTTTTTTGCATGACGTTGAGGTGCTGCTAAACCGCTGTGCGAAACTTCCTCTTTAGCATTTAGTTGTACTTCAAGCTCCTCGGGAGATAGCAGTGGTAGTACTGGAAGCGTTCGCTGACGCAAATATGGTTACGTGCTCGTGTTTTGACGTTTCGCGTGGTGCTCTAGCATATTTGTCCATGAGCTTGAGAAGTTTACTTGTATTCACATGCTCGGTTATGGCGCTGCTCTTAAGTTATTTCATTACAAGTATTGCTGCCGTGATAACTGGCAGCCATATCCCACTTCGCATATTACGTAGCACAAGACGTGACTCGGGATGCATATTCGACCCTCTTGCCCTTTTTCTTACTTTATTGTGAATCCTCGCGAAGCCCCGCTTATTCGGGGCAAGCTGTATGCGTCAGCCATGGGTGGGCTGAGGGTCCCTCTGGGAAGGGGGACCGCAATGATAGCCTGCATGAAATTGCCTACACATGCTGGCGGGCCTGTGGCCCAGAGACTAGAGGATTTTAGGGCTTACGAAGGACATGGCTGTGAAATGCACCGAATTATCTTTAAAATGGCGATTTCATTTAATGACCCCACTCAAATGTGGAGCACTCCCTTTAACTACTACGTTATCGGTACAGCGTATGAAAGCTTAGAAGGTTCTATTGTGAATCGGTACGCCCAGTAGTGTCTCCCTGGCAGCCATCACATGCAGTGGCAATTGCCATTGTAAGTACGTCACCGCGTGTCACCGAAAACACGTGTAGCTGCATAACGGCAGAGCATATGTATGCGAAACTGAGGCATGCCAATAGCACGAATGTGACGTCCATTTCGTACTATAGCTGATTTTTTTTTTGCACAGGAGATCATCTTTTAGTCGATAAGCAAGGATACTGGCCTTTTTTCCTAGTACCACTCGGGCTAAAACTCTTTGTTCCTAAAAGTGCCATCATTGGCATGCTTGCCTTTCGCTTATTGCTGCTTGTTTTGAGGCCACATGTAAAAGGGTAGCTAGTGATGCGCGCTTAGTGCGTGTGTGAGATT